GAAAATCCTTCCATTATTGGACCCAACAAAGGAATCTCATTCCCCATACATATTTTGTCATTTTGACAGGGACAATACCAAGGAAACAAAACGATTTCATCTTCAGAAACCGATAACCACACGTTCAAACCTGAAAAAGGACGAATCTGAATCTTGAATCAATGGTGTCCAAATGCATCAGCTTCCATCTCCATCTTCATCCCCACCCTTCTCTTTCCTCTGCAATCCCCCAAAATCTGAACTTCACTCAATTTCCAATCAAATTAGCCGCCACCCACGAGCAAAGTCCTCTCCTTTTCTCCAAAAGATGCTCCATTTCAACTCCCATGGCGTCCTCCGCCAATTCCAATTCCGGGTCAATATTTGGTGGCGTTGAGCCTGACCCAGCACTCACCAATGATGATCTCAAGCCGACGACGATCGACCAGAGGACCTTCTCCTGGTGGGAAATGGCTAGTCTTTGGATCGGTCTCGTCGTGGGTGTCCCCTCATTTTATCTGGCCGGAAGTCTTGTCGATCTCGGCATGGCGTGGTGGCAAGGAATCGCCACCGTCGTCGCTGCCAACGTAATCCTGCTGCTTCCTTTAGTCCTAACAGGGCATCCTGGCACCAAATACGGCATCCCTTTCCCGGTGTTAGCGAGATCATCCTTCGGGATTCGGGGCGCCCATGTCCCGACTCTGCTCCGAGCGCTGGTCGGTTGTGGGTGGTATGGAATCGAGTCTTGGATCGGCGGCGAGGCGATATTCCTCCTCCTCCCGAAGTCCATCAAGGAATCCACCCTGTCTCGATCCATACCTTGGCTTGGCACTTCCCCACTTGAATTTGCTTGCTTTATGGCATTCTGGCTTGCCCAATTGACCATTGTTTGGAAAGGAATGGAAGGAATCAAAGAACTCGAAAAGTACTCTGCTCCGATTCTGATCATCCTCACCACCTCACTCCTCATCTGGGCTTATGTCAAAGCCGGTGGATTAGGCCACATGCTCTCCTTATCTTCCCGACTATCGTCATCGGAGTTCTCGTCTCTGTTCTTCCCTTCATTGACGGCAAATATAAGCTTCTGGGCTACTCTGGCGCTCAACATTCCCGATTTCACCCGCTACGCCAAGACCCAGAAGGATCAAATTATCGGCCAGGTCGGTCTCCCAATCTTCATGGGGGCATTCACCTTTGTTGGCCTCGCTGCAACATCTTCCACCAAAGTCATTTTCGGAGAATTGATATCCAATCCGATACAACTTCTAGGCCAAATCGGAGGATTTACAACCATGATCCTAGCCATTCTTGGGATTAGCCTAGCCACCATCACCACCAACATAGCCGCCAACGTTGTTGCTCCGGCGAATGCTCTAGTGAACCTCAGTCCTTCAAAATTCACATTCCGGAGAGGAGCTCTCCTCACTGCACTGCTTGGCATTGCATTCCAGCCATGGAGGCTTCTGAAATCCAGTGAAAGTTTTGTGTACACTTGGCTAGTTGGGTACTCTGCATTGTTAGGTCCAATTGGAGGGGTTGTTTTAGCAGATTATTATATACTGCGCGGGATGAACTTGAGTATCAATGACTTGTATTCTCTGAGTCCCTCTGGAGCATACTACTATTCAGGAGGCTACAATTTGGCAGCAATGGCAGCTCTGGTGATCGGAATTTTGCCGGTGGTTCCAGGTTTCTTGCAAAATGTTGGGGTTCTATCTTCGGTTCCGGATGCATTTGTTGTCATCTACAACAATGCTTGGTTCTTCAGCTTCTTCTCTGCAGGTGTTCTGTATTGGTTTCTGTCATGTTTGTTAGGAAAACAGAGCAAATCTCTACCCTCAGAGCCCCTTTTGCCCAATGCAAACTAAATTGATTTTAGTTTTTTGGTACTCAGGGAGATTAGACACTCTGGAAATAGGTCATGTCTCATGTGCATTTGTAAAATGTTACAGGATAACAAAGATGCTCCGTTTCTCACAATGTATACATCACATGTGATACTCAAATAATAAGGGTGACTTCATTGTTTTTTTTGTTTTGTTTGTTTGTTTGTTTTTTTTTTTTTTTCGTCTTTTTTTCCTCTTCCTAATTCTTTTTAAATTTTTGGATATTGATATAAACACTCATTGATTCAAGACACTCTATAATATTTATTAAAAATTATTATTTTTTAATTTAAAATTAAAAAAAAAATTTTAAGTTACAAATTTTAATATCTAAATTAGTGAGTATTAATGAGTGTAGTGAACTAAAAAATATATTAATCATACACTTAAATTTTTTTTTTTTTTTTTTTTCAAAGGAACCAAGGCCGTAGTTCCTAGATTTTCCTATGAATAAGAATATGCTGCCGTAGATTGGGTTTTCTGCATTATTGAATGGGTCTGATTTGGGTCTCATTTGCTAAACATTATCTAATCCATCCAACTTGATGGCCCTAGAAAAAATCCATCCAATTTACAGTGGAACGAGGAAAAGTGCTAGACCCAACCCAAGAACTAAAGCCCAATAAGTACATAATTCAATCCATGCGCTTACTAGTGGCCTCGCATTAAGGTTTTCTGCCAGGCCTCGTAGTAACCAACATCGATAAAAATTGATATAATTTGGCTAAGTCCCAATGGAGGTAACCACTCTTTGAGTGCGATCCAGATGGTCATAAAACTCGAACTCAAGTGGTTAATGATGGTATTTTAATGTGAAATGGATAGAAACTTTAGTAAATAGTAAAGGAAAATAAATGAAAGGATAAAAAAAAGAAGAAGAACAGAGTTTTTAAAGTAAAATTAATGAAAAAAAGTGTTATATAGTTTGAATTGCATTGAATTTCATAATTTTAATTATTGGATGAGAGGTGAGTCACTTAATATTAAAGACTCCCTTTATTTGATAGTACTTACCCTACAGTTTAGATTACAAAATAGGAAACTTATGAGTAAAAACACCTAGATCATAAGTGCCTCTCTCTCCTTTTTCTTGTAGCCACTACCCTCTTCTCTTCTTTTTTCCCTAATCACCATCTTTTTCTCTCTCCTTTGGAGGATATGGAGGATGAAGAAAAGTGGAAGTTTCTCCCCTTTTTTGGGGTTTAAGCTTAGGCTCTATTAATAGTTTTCATTAG